TTTATTTATTAGAGAGAGTGAGCGACAGAGCACAAGCAGGGGGAGCAGCAGAGGGAGAGGGAGAAGCAGACTCCCCGCTGAGCAGGGAGCCCCACTCGATCCCAGAACCCTGAGATCATGACCTGAGCCAAAGGCGGACACCGAGCAGATTGAGCCACCCAGCCGCCCCAAATAAAATCTTAAAAAAAATGCAAATGTCGGGCGCCTGGGTGTCTCAGTTGGTTAAGCGACTGCCTTCGGCTCAGGTCATGATCCTGGAGTCCCTGGATTGAGTCCCGCATCGGACTCTCTGCTCGGCGGGGAGTCTGCTTCTCCCTCTGACCCTCCCCCCTTTCATGTGCTCGCTCTCTCTCAAATAAATAAATAAAATCTTAAAAAAAATGCAAATGTCCAAATCAATGAGTCGGACAAATGTATACAATCAAGTAGCCGCTATCACAATCAAGTTTAGACAACGTTCCCTCTCTCCCCTCCTGTCCTCGACACCCCCAGCTGGGGAGGAGGCTGGACCGTCCCGCAGCGGGGGAGGATGGAGGAGGAGCTGAGGGGGGGCCCCATCTGCTCCTTCTGCTCACCCGAAGCCCTGGACCTCGCCTCCCTTTGTCCCCCCCATGCATCCTGTCACCTGGCGATAAGTGGCCGGCTCAGGGACACACAGACCACAGCAGGACCAGGTCAGATCCATGGTGCCCTGTGGGCAAACCCACGTTGTTTTCTCCTCACCCGGGCAGGGGTGGGGATCAGTGCTCCCCACTTCCAGGAAGCCATCCCCAGACTCCCCGTCCCCACACCCAGCCTGTGTTCCTGTGGTCTCCACCACAGATCAGATGGGCACAGCGCCCAGCTGTCCGGCTCAGGTCAGGCCCTTCCTAACCGTCCTCTGTGTGGCCGGGCCTCGTGACTGAGCCGATTAGGGGCCCTGGGAGGGGCTGGACTTGCCTGCACCCGCCCCGGCTTCAGAAAGAAACTCCAAAGACCATCTGTGTGGCCCCTCCACATCTCTAACACTGTGCCCCTTGTCTCCTTTGACAGGAGAGCAAACTGAGGCACAGGGAGGGGTGTTCTGTCCCTGCATGCCTCCCTGCTCTGGCCTCCAGATGCCCTCCTGGCCGGGTGGCGTCTCCTGTCGCCCAGTGGATGTGGCTTCTGTGGGCCTGTGTGGAGGCCCCTCAGGAGGACCCCTCCTCCTTGCTCCCACCTTCACAGTAGCTGCTCGCTTGGCTCAGGCTGCCCTTCGGCCCTGACCCTTCCTGGTCTGAGCTGGGCTTACTTGTATCTGTGAACAGGAGCTGGGCTGTGTGGGTATGGTTTTCAGGGATACGGGGACACCCCAGGTATAGGCTCACCCCCTGCCCTGCTCCCCTCCCCGGCCCCAGGCCTGCTCTGGTCTGCAGCTCTGGGCTTGAAGGAGCCTAATCCTGTCTTTCCACCCCCCACCCTGTCCCCACTGAGCCTTTCTTCCTGAAATGCCCCTCCCTCCACACTTCATCCAGCCCAGGGCCTAAACAGGCCTAAGAAAATTCTAGAAGTCATCATCCCCACTATGGACAATGATTACCCCTGGGTGAGATGGGGGAAGGAGGAAGGAAGACGGATTTCTTGTTTTCTTGTCTTAACACATCTGTATCCATCAAGAGTTTGCAGTGGGCATGTACTACATTTGTAATTAAAAATAACTTCTAGATTAAGAGGGAAAAGGAGCAGCCTGTGTGCCTCCCCTATAAGAGGTTTCTTATCAGTGGGCAGTCGAGAGGAGAGTCTGACTGTGCAGAGCCAGGGCCCTGGGTCTCCCGTGCTTTGGGAGGTGGACTCCCGGCGCTCCTCTGTCCCCATCCCTTGGTGGGCTGCACGGACAGCAGGAGCCGGGGCTGAGGGGGGGTTTGGAGTTTGGAGGTGCAAAGATGAAGAAGGCTCCTGCCCTGGTGGTCCTAGAGCCTCACTTGACGTGGAGATCAGCTCTAGAAGGATTAAAGGCAAAGCTTGTGTGTACACGTGAATGAATAATAATTAAATCTGCAGTCTATAAACACAAACACCTCCAACTTCAAAAAGCAAACAAAACCGTTTTCAGCAACTGTGAAAAACTAAGTGTAAATGCATTCATTTAATTGAAAATCTCCAAATGATGAAAAGAAGCCTAGAACTCGAATTGACAAAGGAGGGGCAGAGCTGCCAGAGGAGACAAGCCACTGAGCGACACAGGGAAGCTCCTAGCTCCCCCAGAAATGAGACAGACACAACTCTCAAATGGAAACAGCAGAAGCATGCTATTTGTTACCAAAAAACTTCAAAAATTGAGCATCTCGGGGTGCCTGGCTGGCTCAGTGGGTTGAGCATGCGACTCTTAATCTCAGTGTTGTGAGTCTGAGCCCCATTTTGGGCCTGGAGCCTACTTAAAAATTAAAAAAAATAAAAAATACATTAAAAATTGAGTATCTCCTGTGCTTTTCCCCCATAATGTAGCAAGTAATACCTCTATTGTATTCTGTTTTCCCAATCATATGTAGTATGTTACTTATCACATATCATGGTTTACCCTTGGCTCATGATACATTATGTCTCACATTTGTATCCAGTGTTGGATTCAGAGTTACAGTGGAGAGAGCACATTTTCTGCAGGGCCATGGCAACAAGGGTAGGACTGGACTCCATTCTGAGGAAAGCAGAGACAAGTGGGGACCTATAGCCAAGGTGCAGGGGTTTCTGAATGGGAACTTAGTAAGAGGAGACATCTGGGGAATTCTGGCTGAACCAACCGATGGGGGCTCCTGCACGCCATCGAGTACCAGGGTGGGGAGTGAAGAATTGTCATCAGATGTGGAGGGTGATCAGGTGCCAAAGGCAGGGCTCTTGCTAAACTGGATTTTGCAAGGAAGTGCGCAGATGGGCCCAGGAGAAGTTTTGGTTGAGCAAAGATTGCTGGTCGTTGGCCATTGATGGAGGGAGCACTGGGGTCCAGGACTGTGGGGAGGAGAAACTGGAGTGTCTTTCTAGAAATAATGTGGCATAGCCACCAGGGGTTCTCTGGGAATCTGGTCTAGGGAGCCATCTCAGACAGACACAGCCCTAGGAACCCAGATGGCGGTCTTCTGTGTATGGACACGAGGGAGGACCACGAAGTTCCGCGATTGGCCTGTATGGGATATGGGGGCGTCCCTAAGATGAAATGGGACGGTTGTGGGGAATGCAGCCCTCTGGGGACTGAAGTCTGAGAACAGAAGTGGACGGTTTCCTCGGCCAGGGGGTGTGTTCTCTACGGCAGCAGGGGCTCCGCCCCATTAATAATCCCAGAAAACCTAACGTGGCACTACCCACAGGTGAGAATATCAGATGGTGGCCAGGATGAGGCGTGACAGACATTCTCCTGAGTTGCTGGAGGGAGTTCGAGGGGACAACCCCTCTGGAGAAGGGTATGGCCTCGTCTAGAGAATGCAGACCGCAGCAGCCCCCCGCCCGCACACGCTGCAGACATTGAGGAGTGCGCACAGGAATGACCACAGCCACCTGGTCCTAAGACCCCGAACACAGACAGCCCGAGCGGGCACGGCAGGAGTGGGCGTGGCCGTGACACATGACTGTGTGCGGGGAAAGCGAGGCTCCAGGGGGCGTCAACGCTCGATGACACTCAGCCAAAGGTGAGCATGAGCCCCAATGCCCCACCTTCCCCGTGGATGCGCGGTGTCAGTGGGGGGATGACGGTGCGTGGGAGGGGGGACGGGGTGTCAGGGTGGTGCCCACTCTCAACCCCATCGCAGTGCCTGAGTATCCCTAGAAACATCTTTTCAGTGGTCAGAGAATCAGAGAACTGAGGTCACAAGACAGACAACTAACCCTCAATCTGGAGAGGACCGGGATTGAGCACTGGCCACCTGGAGAGATGCCGCTGGGGCCACACAGAGCCAGGCTGCTGTCTGGGCCGGGTGGGGGCAGGGCAAGGCCCCCCTAGGGGAGGGGCCACCCCGATGGCAGCGTGGGGGCTGCAGGGGGGCCCGGGGGCCATGAGGTGGGGAGGTGGGCAGGAGGCCCCGGTGACCAGTAGGCCCAGGGGAGAGGGAGGAGGTGGGCAGGTGGACAGGCGGGGCGGGAGCCGGCCCTGGCTGTGGAGCCTGGTGGGGACAGCGTCCAGGGGGTGGTTATCTCCTTGTTACTTCCATCTGCCCCCCCACCGCTGATGGCACTGAGATGGCCACCCTACTAAGAACTGTTCAGTAACAGCCAGGGGCGGGCGTTGTGGGGTCCCCAAGGAATCGGGCCTGCCATCCCGGGTGGGGACAGCAGGGCCCTTTCCTGTGTGGAGGCACTTGGCTCGGTCCTGCCCAAGGCAGTTTCCTCGTGTGATTTGGGGGGTGCATGTCAGCCCCGCCCTGGAAGGGAAGATGCAGAGGACATGCAGAGATGTGGGGAGGGGGACACTGTCCCTGGGCGCCTCCCTGCTCCTCTGAGGGTAGCCCACGGACATGAACTTCCCTGGGGGAAACAGGTCACATAGTGAGGACAGCACCACTGTCCCTGGGTGCAGCCATACCTGAAGGCCTCCTGAGGGCATCGTCGTTCTACATCTGGGCAGAGGAGAGGCGTACCTGGAAGGAGAGCTGCCTCAGGGCCAGGGATCAGCCTGCCGAGAAAGGGAGGGACACTCAAACACCCCGTTCCCAGTCCAGGCAAGACGTGGGAGCCCCGATCCACAGAGGGGAGCCGGCAGCCACTGCATGCAGACTGGTAGGCATCTTAGCCATCCAGAGCCTAGGAAGCCATGCCCCCCTCGGAGGGGGGCTGACTCGTCCTCTGCTTGGCTGTATGCCCACCCTTGGGGCCTGTGGACCCAGATGGGTGTCTGGGTGGTGGGGACACATGTCGTACGATGACCTTCATCTGAATCATCCACTTCCTTCAGTCTGGATTGGAGGATGCAAGGCCCCTCCTCTGACCGCCTCCTGGCCGGGAAGGATAAATGGGCAGGGGAGAGTGGGCTGGGTTCATAGCACCAGTGGTCGGCCAAGATAAGCCCCCCACCCCGAAAACCCAACATCTGGGTGTTGCTGTGGAGCAGAGCAGAGGAGCCCCAGATCCAGAGCATCGAAACCCAGACCCCCAGGCCTTGACTGACCCCCTGGTCCCGGGGGGCCCCACTCCATCTGCACGCCGTACCCTGCAGACCCGCAGCCTGGCCCTGCTGCCCCCCCACGTTGCTCCTTTCAGATGCTGAGTCTGCTGGTGCTGGTGCTGCCCCTCCTGGGGAGCCTGGTCCACGCATCCCCTGGTGAGTCCTGACCGTGGTCCAGCCCCGTCCCTGCCCCCTCACCCTACATGCCCCATGATGATTGGGTGGACGGGTGCCGAGAAGCCCAGGGTCGTGGGGGCACAGGGAACAGCTGAGCCCGGGGCCAGGCTGTGCCCTGTGCTAAAGGCGCTTCTGACCCCAGCTTCAGGCCAGGTGCTGGAGCGAATGGGCATCGTAGGGGGCCAGGAAGCCCCTGGGAATAGGTGGCCCTGGCAGGTGAGCCTGAGAGTCCACCACGGGTACTGGAAGCACGTCTGTGGGGGCTCCCTCATCCACCCACAGTGGGTGCTGACCGCAGCGCACTGCACGGGACCGTGAGTGGCCCCGGGGCCTGGTGGGGCCGGGTGGGGCCGGGTGGGGCTGGGGCTCCACCCACATGCCCGGGGGGCCAGCAGCCTGCTAGGGCCCCCTGAGTGGCCGCCTGCTCTCCCCAGGGCCATCACGTATCCTTCAGAAATCAGGGTGCAGCTGAGGGAGCAGCACCTCTACTACCAGGACAGGTTGCTGCCCGTCAACCGGGTCATCATGCACCCCGACTACTACATAATCGAGAACGGGGCAGATATTGCCCTGCTGGAGCTTGAGGACCCCGTCAACATCTCCCCCCACGTCCAGCCGGTCACCCTGCCCTCTGCATCGGAGACCTTCCCCACGGGAACGCCATGCTGGGTGACAGGCTGGGGGGATGTGAACAGTGGAAGTGAGCATCAGGGCCAGCAGGAGGGCTGGGGTGAGCAGGGGTGGGTCACATCCCTGACCCAGCCTCTGGGACCCCCCCGGGGGGGGTCAGGGTCCCCAGCGGCCCGCTCAGGGCACGAGTGGCTTTCCCTCCTGACGTCGCGTGCTCGCCTCTCTCCCCAGCGCCCCTCCCACCGCCGTTCCCCCTGAAGCAGGTGAAGGTGCCCATTGTGGAAAACAGCATTTGTGACATGCAGTACCATTTTGGCCTCAACACGGGGGACAAGATACAGATCATCCGTGAGGACATGCTGTGCGCTGGGAACAGGAAGAAGGACTCCTGCCAGGTGGGCCTGCACCTACCCCCTCAGCCCCCGCCCGCCCCGCCTCCTGAGCCCCCACTGACCTGTCCCCTCTCCAGGGCGACTCCGGAGGGCCCCTGGTCTGCAAGGTGAGGGGCACCTGGCTGCAGGCAGGCGTGGTCAGCTGGGGCGACGGCTGTGCTCAGCCCAACAGGCCCGGCATCTACACCCGGGTCACCTACTACCTGGACTGGATCCGCCAGTATGTTCCCGAAGAGCCCTGAGCCCAAGCCCTGGAGCTGCCACCTGGATTGGCGGAGAAGAAAGCCCACTACTGTCCCACAACACTGGCAGGCGGTGTCCTTCTGCCCACCTTCCCCGTGCCCTGTCCGGGGAGCCCCGGTGGGCGCGAATCGTCATTAAAGCGCATGGAAGCAGACGTGGTTGTCATTGCGGCTCTGGTTGTGCGGGTCACCGAGGGACAGGGAAGGGGTCCAGGGTACAGCCTGGTGTAGCTGCCGTCACCGTGGGGCCTGAGCACGGGGTGTGGGGGTTGCTGTGAGATGCCCCCTGCTCAGACCCTCAGACAAGAGCCCATTCTCAGCTCATGGCTTCCTTCTCCTGGGGAGTGACATCATGCATTTGGGACGGGGAGAGCAATGTGGACCATTGAAAAGATGTTTCTAGGGACACCCAGGCACTGCAATGGGGTTGAGAGTGGGCACCGCCCCAACACCCCGTCCCCCCTCCTCTCGCGCACCGTTATCCCCCCGCTGACACCGTGCATCCACGGGGAAGGTGGGGCGTTGGGGCTCATGCTCACCTTTGGCTGAATGTCATCGCGTGTGATGCCCCCTGGAGCCTCGCTTTCCCCGCACATGGTCACGTGTCACAGCCGCGCCCACTCCTGCCGTGCCCGCTCGGGCTGTGTTCGGGGTCTTAGGACCAGGTGGCTGTGGTCATTCCTGTGCCCACCCCCCAGTGTCTGCGGCGTGTGCAGGTTGGTGGCTGCTGCGGTCTGGGGCCTGCGCATCCTCCACTCTCTAGATGAGGCCACGGGCTTTCACACGCCCCGCCCCCCGTCCCCCACAGTGGAGGGGAGAGCGCCCGTTCCACCCCACCCTGCAGACCACGCTGGACTGGGTGGTGGCGTCTCATCCAGTGTATAGTTTGTATTTTCATGAGTTCGGGTGACGGGAGTCCCTTCAACAGGTGGAGCCCTTGCCCTCGGTGGGGGAGGGGAAGGCTGTCCACGTGCAGCACAGGGACATCTGAGCCCCTCCCCCTCCCCCAGCACACAGTCGCCCCATCTATGGATATTCTAGGGTGACACGCAGGCATGTTTCCTATGTTGAGCTGCCTCCCACTCAGGATTGCTTCTTAGCACGCAGGACTACGTGACGGCAGCTCCTCAGGCTCCTGGCAGCCACACGGCCTGTTTCCCGGAAGCCAGGTCTGCCCGACGGGGACTGCCACTGGCCGGCCCGCCCCGGGCGGAGTGCTGTCCTCCAGGCCCACCGGGAATTGACAGCCGCTTGTGCAAACTGTCCTTCGCCAACTGAGTAATTCTGAGTTGCAGGCTCTTCGTTCATTTTCGGGTTCTCCTATAAAGTAGGGTGCTAACCTTTGTCTTTGGAAGTCCGTGTTCTCCTGGCCCTCAGCTTTTCTGTTTAGACACAATTACGCACATGAACATACGGAGAACTAAATCAACACCAACTTTTCGGGAGTTTTCTGGGCTCTTCAGGCCAGAACTTTCTAGATCAACATTCGCCTCTCTCCTCCCACTTGTCAGATGCAAAGATACACATTTAATCTACGGAGTCTCTAGAAATGACCCCTGTCCTTAGCAGGGGAGATTCTGAAATGATCCAGCAGCTTCCTTCTCCAGCCCTCACTTCTGTTCCTGCAGCCTGCTCAGGGTGCGGGACACAGAGGTGCGGGGGATGGGGGTGCCGGGGGACAGAGGGGCACCGGGAGCCATCCCAGGACACGGGAAGGCAGTGGGGCCTGGTCTGCGTGGTCTGACACCCACAGAGCCCTCACTCTGATGTAACCACCATGACAGACGATGTGCTCAACCTCTTCGTTTTCCCTTTTTAGCTTTGATTTCTTTAATGACAGCTGTTATACATGCCCATCCTAAGACCATGAAAGGTAAGAACCTGGAAACCTCCCTCCTTCTCCCCCCTCCCTGCCACCTCACCGCGTTGGGGTCACACTCCCTCGATGCCAGCCTCATATACGTACACTCAGGCCTTTTTTTTTTAAAGACTTATTTATTTGAGAGAGAGAGAGAGAATGAGTGGGGGAAGGGCAGAGGAAGAGGGAGGAGCTCCAGCAGACTCCCCGCTGAGTGCGGAGCTGTCCTGGAGCTCAATCTCACCACCCTGAGATCACAACTTGAGCCGAAACCAAGGGTCGGGGGCTCAACCACCTGCACCCCCAGGCGCCCCTACACTTAAGACTTTAAGAGCATGTCGTGCAGGGGAGAGACCAAGGGACGAGATCTGGAAGACCCTGGATTCCTTGAGATGTGGGTGAGGGTCCCAACCTGGGGAGTGGGGAGGGGGCCTCAGACCCCCCGGCTTCCCCTATCTGGCCCAGGGAGCTGAGGAACTCAGACCCACTCAAGCAGGGGAAAGCAAGAGACCTTGTATCAGGTAAGCCAGGCCGCCCTCCGCGGGGGCAGGCTGAGACCGAGCAGACCTGGGGGGTCGACCCTCCCACTACCTTCACTGGGCAACAGGAGACCCCGCTGGACTGGGAGGGTATCTCCAGGGCCAGGGGAGGAGGGCACCTCCGCACAGGACACCCCTCGGGAGCCGAGTGAGGGGGTACAGTTGGGGAGAAGGGTCCCCACTAGGGGAGGCGAACTGAGCCAGGACAGGTGAGGGCCCTGACCCCGGGATGACATTAGGGGTTCAGGAGTCAGGGGCTGGGCTCCTCCAGACCTGCCCTGCTCCCCAACACTGGGTGACATCAGGGCCCCTGGGCTCCAAGAGGGGTGGCTTGGGCCCAACACTGCTGCCACCCCAACCAGGCTGACAGGGGCAGGTCCCCCTTCCCCGAGGCCCACCCTCCAGGTGTGGGGCCATTGTAGGCTCAACACAGACCCTGCATACGGAGGCCACGCCACTGTTGTCCTTCATCAGGACAAACACTCAACACACCTTTTGAGCCTCAGCTCCTGGTAGGAGGGGGACATCCGAGAAGCCACATCCTGGAAGATCGTCACACAACCACCCCGTCCCTCAGTTTCCCCACCTCTAAGAGGGGATCGCTGACCTGGAGGGTCTCAGAGGGACTTTCCCACCTGGCCTGTGACCTGGAGCTGGGCAGGGAACTGGGGGTGGGTGCAGGAAAGTCCAGCCCCTCCCAGGGCCCCTAATCGGCTCGGTCATGAGGCCCCGGCCATACAGAGGACGGTTAGGAAGGGCCTGATCTGAGCCGGACAGCTGGGCGCTGTGCCCATCTGATCTGTGGTGGAGACCACAGGAACACAGGCTGGGTGTGGGGACGGGGAGTCTGGGGATGGCTTCCTGGAAGTGGGGAGCACTGATCCCCACCCCTGCCCAGGTGAGGAGAAAAGGTGGGTTTGTCCACAGGGCACCTTGGATCTGACCTGGTCCTGCTGTGGTCTGTGTGTCCCTGAGCCGGCCACTTATCGCCAGGTGACAGGATGCATGGGGGGGGACAAAGGAAGGTAAGGCCCGTCTTCGGGGTGTGCAGAAGCAAGTGGGGCCTGCCCCTCAGCCCCCCCCTCCATCCTGTGCCCTCCTGCCCTGCGCAGGTGTACGGCCCTCCCTGACCCACCTCAGACCAAGCACATGCAGGGCTCAGGGCAGCCCCCCAACCCTGCAGGATACAGACATCATGGACCTGGGACACTGGTCTCCTGCTCAGCTGGCTGTGCCTGGTGGGGGACCCAGTGAGCGGCTGAGGGGAGGGCAGGGGGCATCTGCAAGTTCTGTGGACCTCCAGCTAGGGTCACTTTTCCAATCAATCATGGAGCTGAAGCCCCTCAACTGGACACCCCAGCCCCAGGGAAGCTGTGGGCCGAGAGAGATTGGGGTGAACCTGGGGGCTGAGACGAGAGAGAGACCCTGTAGGCCTTGGTGTTCGCCCTGCCCACTGGGGTCAGAGCAGAGGGGCTCTGGCCTCAGCCAGGTGGGGCTTCCCACAACTCAGACCACCCCTGAGGAGGCTATGGTAGGCCACGGCGGGCTCCTGCTTTGCTACGTGGCTGGAAGGGAAGGGCCTGGACCCCACCCTGGAGCTGGTCTGCACTGGGCTTGGCCACCAGCCAGCATGGTCACAGCCATCGCTGGTGGGACTCTCAAGGGATCCCAAGTTCTACCCTGTCTGGGCCCACCTGTACCCGCTCTCATGCCTCGCACGAGCCCTGGGCCCTGAGAGGGCAGCAGGGCGCCCAGCCGGTCAAAGGTCAGGGCTGTGAACTTGGCTCCTCCCTCGGCCACCAGAGGGGACAGGTCGAGCCTCTGCAGGAACCCCAGGGCTAGTGCCAGAGCTGGCCGCAGGCCCGCATCACTGAGCCCTGCTCTTGGCAAGGCAACAGGCTGGCCACGCTCCCTTGCGGGGATACGGATCCTGCCGGTGGTAATCCAACGCATTTCTTAAATAAGTTAGTATTTATTCCGCTTTGCTTGGCCCCCACCCCTGCTGCCCCTTCCCTTAAGAAGCCAAATTTCCTGTATCAGATTATTGCATTGTTTAACCTGAATTTATAAAAGAAAGGTCCACGAAATGCAGGGGCATTGGCGGGCACCGCTCTGCCCAGGCGCAGGCGGGGCCGCCGGCAGCGGCGGGGGACTTTATTGCACGGACCCCACGCCCCTGCGACGTGGGCGCGTCTGGAATACCCGAGGGCAGAATGGTGGGGCGTGGGCCCAGAAGGGAGCTGGGGAGACAGTGACAAGGAGTGGGGACGGACAGGTGAGAACTCAGACTGAGGGACAGTGAGCATGGGTGTGGCGGCCTCGGGGACCAAGCTGCCACCCAGGAGGGCACAGGTGGCCCCAAGCACGTGTTCCCTAGAAAAGTAAGTGGGCGTGAGAACAGGGCTCTGCTGGGTAGCCTCGGACTGCCTCCTTCTGGTCGTTTCCTGATCCCTGTTGCGGGGACACAGCGGCTGTCAGGGGACCCCTGACCGGGCGCTGGCACGGCCTCAGACCATGGTGACGAAACTCGGAAAAACCCAAACCTGAATCCACCAGATGGAGGCTCATAGGCTGAGGGGCTCCTCCCTGTTCTGCTTTGCCCAGACCCAGTGTCCGCCTCCCTCCCTGGGCGGACAGCCTTACGGGCCTCTCCGCCGCAGCAGGGCCCGCGCTGGGGTCCACGCACAGCCCTGCCCGGGGCTGCCACCCTGCTGGGTGCACCCCAACCCCACTGCTAAAACCTGTGTGGCACCATGCCCTGAGCTACACGGGCCTGTTTACACTGTTACCCAGGGTGGGGGTGGCTGGGGGAGACCCTGCTTTCTTTGGGGGGCTCTGGAGGACTTTGAGGTGCAGCCCCCGCCCCTTCTCTGGGGGGTCGCTGGAGGGCATGGGAGGCTCTGTTTTGTGGGGTTCAGGAGGCACCGTGGCCCCTGAGAAGGAAGCCCTGGGTTCTGGGGCCATACTATGGCCATCATCTGAAAATGGGTCTCCGCCAGGGCCCCCCGCGTCCAGCGGCTCAAAGGCAAAGTTGGGGACGGTCAGGTGTTCTGCACGGCAGGGGGCCTGGGCCCGACGCTCCCCCCTGGCGGCAGGGTCCACCCCTGCCCCCTCCACGGGCTCCAGGGAGTCCCTGTGTGGCATGGCCTCACAGGACGGGGTCCGCCGCCGCAGAGTGGTGCTGCTGCCCTCGGCCACTGGGGCCCGAGCTGTGCCCTCGTCCTCCACTGGGGGGTCTACGGAGATGCAGGGCGGGCTCATCTTCTTCTTCCTCCGTGCCCCCAAGGCTGGCTCGGCCTCTGGGGCCCGAGCCTTTGCCTCCCTGCCCTCCAGGTGGCCATCCCCGCCCCCCTGCTCCCCAGAGGACCGCCTCTGCTCATCTGCCTGGCCGGGCTTGTCCAGGAAGCCCTGGGTGTCCACGCTGTAGAACCTCCGCAGGTCCGGGTCACTGCCTCCCCCTCCTCGGGCAGTGGGTGAGGCTGCGGGGCTCAGGGCCGAGCTGGTGATATGGCTGACCTCCTCGTCGGCAGGATCCGGGGTCTCAGCCTCCTCCCCTCCTGGGGCCAGTGGCCTGCCAGAGACACAGCGCTGCCCGAAAGCGTGCTTGCGGGTGCGGACACTGCTGGGCCACGGGGACCGGGGTGGGGACCGTATGGAGGCCCCCAGGGACGCTTGCCTCACAGGGGTCTTCCTGCCAGGCTCCCCCCAGCCCGGGCCGCTGTCCCTGGGGCCATTAACATGCCCTTCCTGTGAGTCGGTGCGCATGGCCTCCTGCAAGGAAGGACCCAGGATCCGATGAGGAACGAGGCCAGGCAGAACCCAGTTGGCAGCCAGGGATGCAGGAATGGCGCTCCCCAGAGAAGCCCCAGATTGGACTTATGACCCCCGAGCCTAGGGATCAGGTTGAGATGTGGCTGGGAGCCACTGGGGGGGACGCTCTGTGCCCCAGCCCTGCCCGTGCCGAATACACTGCTCAGGACCAGCCTGCCAGGTGCTCACCACCAGCGCTGGTCGTGCCGTGGGACGGTGAGGACAGAGGGCTGGGGGCCTGAACTCCTGTGGGCAGAGCCTCACCCTGCCCACCACCACCCCAAGGACAGGGGTCGGGGGGAGGGAGAGGGTTCGAAGCTGTGGGGCTGGAGGGAGGTCTGTGGGTGCAGGCAAGGCTCAGGGTGCTGCAAGGCACTGAGGCTGCCGCCTGAGAAGGTGTGGTCCCCAAGGCCCTGCACTTTGTCTCAGGCTCCAGGGACATGCTCCTACTCTCTTCTCTGGTGTCCCTGTCCCTCACCCTTCACATGGTCGGGGGGAACAACAGAAGAACCCCCAGGCCTGGGCTGCAGGACTGGGGCAGCTTCTCCTACCTGTCTGCAAAGCAGCCGGCTGAGGCTGGGGGAGCGGGCTGCACCCTGAGGGGACAGGGCATGGAGAGTGTCGCTGTCCCTGGCCGGGGAGAGCGTGGCCACCGAGGGGACCTGGAGAGAGGTGCAGGGCTCCACGGGCGGGGAGTGTGCGGAGGTCACTGGGCCTGGGGCAGGAAAGCAGGTGCCCTCAGTGGCCACTACCCTACCTGAGGCCTGCCCCAGTCCCCGGGCCACCTGGAGGGGCCGTACCTGCGGCGGCCGCGCCCGAGCACATCTCCACGTCTGCTTCCCGCAGCGGGCGGGGGTGTGGGGCTGAGGCGGGCGCCACGGGCCGGAACATGTAACTGTCATTGGGCAGGGACAGCATCCTGGACACCGACACCTTGCGCACCACCAGCAGGCCGGGGGCGTCTGGGCTGTGCTGGGCCACGGGCCGGGGGCAGGCGGGCGGCCCCTGTGCCACCTCCAGCTCCAACTCGGCGTCCAGCTCGGCGTCCTCGCGGGCCTCCTTGTTGCTCTCCTCCAGGTGCTTCATGAGCACGGCCACCACCACGTTCACCAGCACGAACTGGGCCACCAGCACGAAGGTGACGAAGTAGATGGGGGAGATAGCGGGCAGGTAGCTGAGACAGTGCTTGTCCTCGCGGGCACACTCCCGCAGCGTGTCCTGAGGGCGGGGCAGGCGGCTGAAGGGCGGCGCTGGGCGCCCCGCCTCCCCGCCCACCCGTGTGGGGTGCCCGCTGGTGGGGGGGCCGCCGCCGGGCTCGGGCTGGTACCTTCATGATCCCATTCCAGTTGTCCCCCGTGGACACGCGGAACAGCGTGAGAAAGGCCATGCCGAAGTTGGAGAAGGTGGCGTGCCGGCTCAGGCCCTCACAGGGGTTGTCCTCACTGCACTCTGCCGGGGAGACCCTCGCCCAGTCAGCCCGCGGGCGCGGCAGGGGCAGTGCACACCCCGGGCCCCGGGGACCACGCTGACCCACTGTGGGCCCTGCCCTACCCCGGGGAGAAGGTCCTGCTCTCCTGGGGTAAAGGGCCCTGGCCTCTGTGAAGACCGTGTCCTTTCGAAGTGGGCGTGGGGTGGGGACAGGACTGCTCCTCTCGCAGCCACAGAGGCTGCCTCTGGGCCTGGCCTGGAGCCCTGGCCTCAGACCTGGGGCTTTCCAGATGGACACGGTCTCTGTGGGTACACAGGTCAAGCCCGCCGTGGCAGCCGGTTCTGGCTCAGCCCCAGCAGATAGCACCCATGCTCCCCAGGCCTGCCTGTGGGGTCAGCACCCCTCAGACCTCAGCAGCAGGACAGGGCTGCCTTGGAGTAGGAGGCACGATGAATGACGGGCCAGGCCAGGATTCGTCGGGCCTGGGGTCTGGGGCACCAGCTGCTGAGCTCTGGGCAGACCTGAGCTGGGAGAGCCTCGTCAGCCACCTCATGGGCAGGCCCGCCCTGGAGGCTGCTCAGTTAGACCAGGTGCTCAGGAGATCCCGCAGGGGCTGGGTGGTCACAGAAGCCCCACCGGCTCCCTGCCCAGAGCCTTAGGCCTGAGGGATGAGGGACACCCTTAGTGACAATTAGGACAATTAGGAGGCAGGGGAGCACATGAAGCTCAGGGAGACTCGTGCACGGGTTTGTGGGTGCATATGGCCGGTGCGTACTTCTCGTGCTCAGGTGCGGCTCTGTGCCCCCAGCTGGGGCGTGAGCCCGTGTGTGCGTGCGTGCGTGCGTGCACGTGTGCAGATGCTCCCGCGTGTGTCTGCCATCCGTGCTGCTCTTGGGCAGTGAAGGGCTGATGGGGGCTGGGCCAGGGGAGGATGTGGCAGGAGGCCCACGCCCCGAGTCTGCCTGGCCGGCGCCCCAAGGGCCTCATGCGGTGGGCGAAGCTGTGCACACTCACCGAGCCTCCCAAACAGCTCCACCCCCAGGGCAGCATAGATAAAAAACAGGAGCATGAAAAGTAGGCCGAGGTTCCCTACCTACACAAGGAAAGAAGCAGAATGAGGTCAGGGGCCGCCTCAGCCCCCACCCGCTGGGCACTTGGCGCCTGGCGCCCCACCTCGCTGCCCTCACCCACATTCCCCACAGGCTCCCAGACACTGCCTTGGAGCCCTGTTCTGGACCCATCCCTCCAGGTGCTGGAGCTGTGACCCCCAGGGGCTCCTGTCCCGCCCAACACCCAAAGCCCCCCCCGCACCCCACCTCTGTCCCTGCTCTCCTCACACCCCCCTGCACCCTGGGCCGCAGACCCCACTGCCGGCAGCTACTCTGCTCTTCAGAGCCCCAGGGGTGTCCCGGGGGCCCCGGTGGACTCTGCACGGGGCCTGCCTCCAGCCTCGGGGACCCCATGGGTGCAGATGAAGCGGGGACCCTGCCCCCTGCTTGCCCATGGCTCTTCCAGCCTGTCCTCCTGCTGCACTCGGCGGGGCGCCCCATCCTCATGTGCCTCCCGTAACCCTGCCTATCCAGCACCTGTCCCCCCACTCCTCCCCGCCTGCCGCTCCCACAGACCTGGGCTGAGGGGGTGCTGAGGGGACCGGTGGGGGACAACTGAAGGGGGGAGGGTGTGAGGTGTGTGGGCATGAGCGAGCGGCTGGACGGGGGACAGACGACCGGCTAGCAGGGCTGGATGCACGGACAGATGGACACAAGGGTAGATGGATAGACAGATGGCTGGGCGGGTTGGCAGAGGGACTGGGTACAGCATAAATGGGACCATGGGTCTCTTTCAGCTGAAGAGGCCACAGAGGATTAGGATCGGGGCCGTAAGTGCAAGAAGTGAGGATGCAGGGCCTGAGTTGGCTCCAAAGAGGAGTGGGACCCGTGGCCAACACGTGGTCCCCTGAACTCCGACAAGCCCATCGGGGCCAAGTTCTCTGCCCACCACATCCAGAACTGGACGGGGGAGGGGGCACTGGTTTCCACCCTTCCCCACAGAGGCCAAGACCCAGAAAGCGCCCGGCCCTTCTCTGCCCGCGCAGCTGAGTTACTCCCCGCACACACGGGCTGATTACCACAGTTTTCACAAGACCGAGGACTATGTGAGTGAACGACCCAGCGAGGCCCTCCCGCGCCTTGCGCTCCTAGGGGCATCTGTAATGCGCACCCTCGGGGCAATGATGCTGGACCGGGGTGGGGCTGCTGACCTACCTGGGGCAGGGCTTGAACCACCGTGTCCAGCAGAGCCCGCATGCCTGTGGCCATCTTGAGCAGCTTCAGCACTAGGGCCAGAAGCCGAGCATCAGTAGGGGGCGTGGGGCCTAGGCCGGTCCAACCCTTCTTTGCTGGGGGAGACCATGGGCCACCCCCATCCCTTACACTCCCCATCCCCCACACGGTCCCCAGGCAGATGCTACAGGGTGAGCAGAGGAAGGATGCGGAGCCTGGGCCGTGGAGCCCAGCAGCAGGGCCCTCTACCAGCCTTGGGGCAGCGGGGAAGGACAGGCGGGCCGCCTACCGCGGGCGATGCGGAGCACGCGCATGATGCGGATGATGGTGGGGTTGATGGGCAGAGCTGCGTTCATCTCGATCTCCTCCAGTGTGATGCCCATGATGGACAGCAGCACGATGGCCAGGTCCAGCTGGTTCCACCTGGGGCAGGTGGTGGGTGGGCTGAGCACCTCCATCCTGTGCCCTGGGCGCATCCCTCGCCACGACTCCGGCCGGCCAGGGGGAGGAGGGCTGTGGCTCTCAGGAGGCCCCGCCCCGAGGGTTCTCCAGGCCCTGGCGCCCGCCCCACACACCTGTCCTTGAAGAACCTCCGGAACCCAAAAGCCACAAGCTTCAGCACGGCCTCAAAGACGAAGACGATGGTGAACACGTAGTTGCAGTACTTGAGAGCCTCGTCCAGCGACTGCGAGCAGAGCGTCAGGGCTGCGGACGGAGGCTCCCGGCCCGCAGCGCCTGTGTCCTGGTCAGCCCACCCCACCTCCCCTCTGCATGTGGGGCTGGGCCAGGCCTCTGAGGCACGGCCTAGAGATACCCTTGTGGTGTTCTGAGCCCTCACATGGGGGACACCTACTGCTCCCGGCGCAGACCCCTGGCCCCACCTTGACCGGGCCCCCACCCACAACCCAGGGCGGGGCCACGCCAGACCCAGCGGAGACCACTCCCTTCCTCTGCTGGGGGAGAGGGGCGTCCCTTCTTCAAAACATGATGGGGACACAGACACAATGGGGGGAAAATAAAAAGCTGACCACCTTACACCTGCCTGCCCCCTGCCCAGCTTGCTCCTAGGCAGCTGGACTCACAGATGTTCCCACAGCCAGTGTTTCCAGACTGAACCACTGTGGGGAGGGCGCTCCAGGGTAGGGGGCCCTCGGAGTTTCAACCGGTTTTAAAAAAAGGACGCTTTGCTCAAACCACAGCTTCACATACCCTGTAAACCCCAGGGAGGGCTCAGACCAAGCTGCAGACCCAGTACACCCCAGCTCTGATCCAGGCCACCCCACTGAGCGCCAAACCCTACCTAGGCCCACCCCCTCCCCGCCCCAGGGCTTGTGTCCCCGCGGCCCGTCCTGGAGGCAGGCTAGGCGGGCATCTCCAGGGGCCGAGCCCCACCTTGGGCTGGTTGTAGTGTTCCATGGACATAGTGATGACGTTGACCCCGATGATGAAGGTGATAAAGAGGTCAAGATAGTGGCTGGTGCAGAGCGAGTGGATGGAGCGGCGGGTGGGCGAGTAGTCGGCGTAGTAGGGCCGGCGCTGGGCCTCTGCAGGGAGAGGGTGTCCGTGAGCTGGGGTGGGGGCTGCCTGCGCCCTGGTGGCACTGGGATGTCCCTGCTCGTCTGCGGGGAGGCTGCAGCGCGGGGACTGCTGGGGGAGGGCCCTGGGCTCAGACACGGGGCGTTCGCCTGAGCCTGGAGGAAAAAATTTCTCCCAGGAAGAGGGACCCCTTCTACGAAGGAAGCGGCTCCCAGGGAGTCCAGCTCCTGTTGCTGGCTGGGACCACAGGCTGGGGGGCGGGGCAGAAGTGGGTCTCAGGAGCAGGTCGCCGTCTGATCTCCTGGGGCCCTGGCCCCAGGGCAGGTGCTAGGCGTGGGCCAGGCAGCTGAGACCCCACCTGGGCCCTGCTCGGTCCCCACCCTGCCAGGGGCTCCCGAGCTGGCCCTTGTGGTCCACTCTCCTGGGCTCACGGCAGGGCGCAGACACGTTGAGGATGAAGACTGAGCAGATGGGGGCCTTCCTGGAGGCAGGGCCAGTCCCGTCCCCAGCCCCAGTGGTTGCAGGGCAGGGGGGCCCGCCCCTGGCTCCATCTCAGTCTGGACATGAGCCACCCCTGGTCACCATGCCCACAGTGTCTCCCCTCCTTGTCCTCCAAGAGACCAGTGGCCACTGCCTGTTGTCTGGGCTCTGCCGGACCTCTGGTCCATCTGACGACGATGGCCATGACCTGGAGAGGTCCTGCACCGCCAAACAGTTCTGCCTGCACTAAACATTCTGTCTGCAGTAACTCCTTTAGGGCTTGTCAAAGTCCACTGAGCACTGGGTGAGGGCACAGCTGCCACCACTGGACACGGGAACACGCCTGGGCCACAGAACCCCGCGCAGGCAGTGCCCAGGGTGGCAAGAGCTAGGGCTGCCCCAGCCGGCTGGCCCAGGGCCTGGGAGGACAGGGGCTGATGGGGACCGACCCCTCCCTGGGACCCTCATGCCCCTTGGGCTGGCGTGCATCACTGAAGAACTTGGCTCAGCTCGTAAAGCCAGCGGCCGGCAGCCTGTCAGGCCAGGCCAGTACCGAGGATGCGGAGCAGCTGCAACTGGGCAGGTGTCCCAGAATGCAGCGGATCAGCCATGCGCGCAGCCAGGCAGAGGGGCAGGCCCGAGCTTGGAGGCAGCAGCACCGACACCAGGCAGGTGAGCCAGCAAATCCTCTCCCCTCCCACCGAAGCCTGGTGCCCACCCCCAGCCATCCCGTGCCCGCGTGGCAAGGGACCCCAGCAGGCCTGGCACCAGCCTGCAAAGTCCACCCCTCCCCACGCAGCCACGGAAGAACCGAGGCCAGGCCAGCCCACAGCCCCATGCGCTGGGTGGCAGAAGCAGGGGGGCTGAGACATGCAGGGCGGGGGTGGGGGCAGATACCTGGGCTGGGGAAAGTGCCTGGAAAGACAAGGAGATGGTCTGAGCTGGCCTCGGGGGGGTGGGGCGAGAACACTCCACACGGGGCAGGCTGGGTGGGGACACTTAGCAGCCCCCCCCCCCCCCCCGCGTCAGACGCCCTCCTTGCCCCCAAGCCAGCTGGGACTTCCCTAAGACCCTGTCTAACTCTGATGGCTTTGCTCGCTCTTCCCGCGGTGTGAGAACCCTCACAGGCGTGAATCTGCCCCACAGCCACGGCAGTGAAAACTGGGGGTCTTGTTCGCGTCCTGTGCTGTTTGGGAGGAGACCCCTGTGCCTCCTGCCGTGCGGCCCTCCCCTGCCCCGGCCCCTCCTCCGAACGCCCCAGGGCAGGCCATCTGGGAGGGGACTCCAGGCCTGCCGTGCACACACAGGTGCTGCCTGGGTGCCCACCACACCCGTGGGTGAGGGAGGCCGGGGCCAGGCTCGGGTCCGGGAGCCCGCCTCTCCGCCGGACCCGGGTCCCACAGGCACGGGGCTCGCGCAGGTGGAAGGGACGACTCCCCCCACCCCCACCACCGCCCCAAGAGCGCCTTACTCCTGCGTTTTCGCTCCAGCCGCCGCTGCCGCTTCTCCTCGCGCCGCCGGGCCTCCTCGGCCTCCTGGTGCTGCCGGCACTTGTGGAAATTCTCCACCACGACGCCCACGAACATGTTGAGCACAAAAAAGCTGACGATGAGCAGGAAGGAAATGAAGTACAGCAGCATCCAGGGGTTGTGGTTGGGCACGGGCTGCGGCATACAAATGACACGTGGGTGCCCGTCCCCCCAGCCCCTCTTCCCAAGAGTGGCGCATGCACTCCGGGGTTAGAGATGGGGCCCCGAGAGAGACGGCTGGAAATTCTGAGGCTGCAAACAAGCCTCCTGGGGAGAGGTTCCTTGAGACGTCCCAGAAGACAGACCAGTGGGTCCCCACCACCCCCTGTACCTGCTGGTCTATGCCCACGGCATCCAGCCCGTCGTACATGATGTTCACCCAGCCGTCCTTGGAGGACAGCACAAACAGGGACATCAGCGCCTATGGGGTCAGAACAAGGCTGGTCACCGCAGCTCTGCCTCCACCCAGAGACATGGAGAGACACCACCCCCGCTGATGACCCCCACTGATGCCCGTGGTTCCGGTTCCCCAGAGGAGGGGGGCATGCTGGCCTGCCCGCGCCCCTCCCCCACCCACCCCTCCCCCACCCACCTGGCCCAGGTTGTCGAAGTTGTACTTGCGCCGCACCCAGCGGTAGCGTGCGGCCTGGCACTCAGCCTTGGTGGAGATGTTCCTGGTGTCAGCGCCTTCGCAGTAGTAAAACTTCCCTTTGAAGAGCTGACCAGGGTGCGGAGGTCACCCTGCGGGCCCGGTCCTGTGCCCCCGTCCCACCAGACCCGCCCCTGCACGACCGTCTCCGGGCTGCTGGGCTGCTGTGGACCACAGGCCACCGGGCCACGGCCAGGCCACCCGTGGGCAAGCGGGGCGCGCACCTGCACCCCCAGGATGCCGAAGATGATGAAAAAGGCGCAGCAGATGAGCACGATGTTCCCGATGGGCCTGAGTGACGATATCAGAGTCTCCACCACCAACTTGAGGCCCGGAGCACGGCTGATGACCCTGGATGCAGAGCAGAGGCCCGTCCCTGATCGCAGCCCCCAGCCCCCCC